TTTTTTTTTTTTTTTTTTTGAGACAGGGTCTGGCTAAGTCACTAAATTGCCCAGACTGGGATCTAATTTACAGTCCTCCTGCCTCAGCCTCCCAGAGTGCTGAGATTACAAGCATGTGATACCACACCTGGCTCACAGGGTGTTAGTTTTTTTATTTTGGGGGAGTTTTTGAGACAATGTCGTTGAGGCTGGCCTTGGACTCCTGTCAATCCTCCTGCCTCAGCCTCCAGGGTACTGGATTTTGGATGTGCACCACCATACCTTGCCCAGAGGGTACATTTAATTATTTTATTTATTTAGGTTTTTCGAGACTGTCTTGGGGGAGGAAGAAGGGAATAGAAATGTGTCATGTACATGTACCAACCCCTACAGTGAATGTAATCATTATGTACTGCAAACATGCACTAATTAAAAAAAAATAAAATATTTAAAAGAGGAAAAGGGATAAGAGTCTTGCTGTGCAGTTCAGGCTGATCCTGAACTCACCATGTAGCCCAGGCTGGCCTCGAACTCTCGGTGATCCTCCAAGCCTCAGACTCCCAAGGGCTTGGATGACAGTGTACACTATCATTCCTGGTCTCAGAGTTTTTGTTTTGGCTTCTTGAGACAGGGTCTCACTATGTAGTTCAGACTGACCTTGAACTCACTATGTAGCCTATGCTGATCTCAAACTTGCATCCATCCTCCCGCCCCAGCCTCCCTAGTGCTGGGATTGCAGGCATGAGCCATCACATGACCAGCTCAGAGAGTGCTTTTAACATCACATTTTGAGCCTAGTCTCTCCCCTGCTCACATCCTCCAAAGGTGTTCCTTTGGGCTGTGAATAAAAACCAAACTTCGCCATGTCAGTGGGCCCCCCTGTCCATTTGATTCCTGTCCCACGGAGTCCTCCAAATACGCCAACTCATGCCTCTGCCCACAGAGCTTCCTGTGCCTGGGTTCCCCTTCTTATTGAGGCCTCGCCTGAGAGGACGCTTCCAAGAGGCCCTCATCTACCACATCTGGATCAGGACCTGCAACCCAGTCCATTTCGCTGGGTTCCCTTCTCCACACTGGTCTGAAATGGTCTTGTTTGGTGCCGAGCTCCCTGTGTGCCTGGTTTGGCCCTCAAGGAAGTAGGACAGACCATACTCAGGAACTGGGGTACTGGAGCTCTCCACTGACCACCTGCTCAGATCCTCTTGTCCCTCCAGGTCTGAGCCTTTGTTTTTGTTTGTTTGTTCTGTTTTGTTTTTTGTCTTTTTTGAGACAGGGTCTTGTTATGCAGTTCAGGCTGGCCTGGAGCTCACTTATGTAGCCTAGGCTGGTCTCAAACTTGCAACGATCCTCCTGCCTCAGCCTCCTGAGTGCTGGGACTACAGGTGTGCACCACCACGCCCAGCCTAAAGTCTGAGCCTTTAGCAGGCACATAAAGCCCTCACAGCATTCTAGAAAGACCAGGACTCTTTGCTCTTTTTCTCTTTTCTTTTTTTTCTTTTCTTTTCTCTTTTTTTTTTTTTTTTTTTTTTTTTTTTTTTTTTTTTTTTTTTTCTGAGACAGGGTCTTGCTAAGTATTTCAGGCTGACCTGGAACTCATTATGTAGCCCAGGCTGGCTTCAAACTCGAGGCAATCTTCCTGCCTCAGCCTCCAGAGCATTAGGATTACAAGCATGCAAGATTCCTGGCAAAGCCGGGCATGGTGGCACACGCCTGTAATCCCAGCACTTGGGAAGCTGAGGCAGGAGGATCACTGCGAGTTCAAAACTAGCCTGGGCTACAAAGTGAGCTCAAGGCCAGCCTGAACTGCATAGAGGGACCCTGTCCTGTCTCACCAAAAAAAAAAAAAAAAAAAAACCTGGCAAGATTCCTTTGCATGCATGAAAAGCTACACCCAAAGTTTGTGTGACCTGACTGATCATCCGCCTGTCAGCTGGGTTTTAGCTGCATCATAACGCCCCACCTCCCCATCTGTGAACCCAGCCAATCCCACACTACCAATGCACAGCAGGGCCAGGATTCTAAGTAGGGCACGTTTCACCCCAAATCTAGCAACTTGCTCTTTACAGTCTCTCTCCTTCCCAGGCACCACGTGGGAAGTGAGGGAAGGTAAATTTCCTGGGTTCCTAGCCTTAAGGCTGCAGAGATAAACGGAGCCAAACCGGCCCGGGAGTCCCACCCTACTTCCTGTTGGAGTGGCCTGAGGTTACTTACGGTCACAGCAGAGGAAGGGATATCCTTGTCTGGCTCCTTCCTCTAAAATCCCCTCCTGGGCACAGGTAGCCACGGGCTCTCTCTGCCCTCTCGGAGCAGCCAGCTAGCCAGATGAGAGACAAGAACACTCCTCTGCGGTGGCAGCAAGGTTAAAACCTGCGTGGAGGGATTTAATTTGTTCACCACTGGGCCATAATTCATGTGTGGCGCACGGTGGTACATGCATGACTTGTCTCATGAGTTGCCTTGGGACAGTCCCACGGGGAGGTACGCGCTGCCCCATGGGACAGTCATGCATGTACCACCAGTGGTTCAAGCCGGAAGCAATCAGAAACGGGGGTCCTCAGTTACAGGTGCAGACATGACTCATGCTCACATCCAGTGTTACCTGGAGTCCCACTGCCTCTCACAGCCTCCCTCTCATTTCCCCCCAGGGGCTACCTGTGTGCACGTCTGCTTCTCCACCTGCCCTTAAGCTTGGAAGGGTCAGACACAGCAAGCCTACCAGGCTTCGCACTGGGTCCCCACCTGGCTCAAAGCATTTGGGGACTGATGAATGAAATGCTGAGGGCCTGGGGGACAGATGTAGGGCTCCTGAAGTGTTCTCTGTCTTCTGAGCGGTTAATCTAGCCAGGGAGACCAGCCATAACTATCCAAGAAATGAAAGGGCAGCGAGAGGCTTAGATAACAGCCTGGAACAAGACAAGCTGGGTCACAAGGCTACGAGATACACTGCTCCAAATCTCCTCGAGGCGGCCGAGTTTTCGCACATTTCTGCCCTGACTCAGACCTGAGTGGGTCCCGGGCCATCCACCTCTCTGGGTGGTAGACTTCCGAGAAATGGGACTCAGTATCTTCCAAGCTTGCTCTAGAGCTCAGCGCTCAAGGCCGGCGGGACACTGGAAGACCGTTCTAGCCATAGTTTGCAGACAGTTTCTCCCCGTCATTGTTTCTTTTCTTCGGCCCGCGCTCTCCTCCCAGCGCTGCTAAGCCAGGGTCCCCGCCCCGCAACCTCCCACCGCCTCGCCTTAGCCGGGCCCCTCTCCTAGTCCCTGGGGTCCCGCCCCGCCGTTCCCGGGGAGGGGGGGGGCCTAGTCTCAGAGTGCACCAATCCGAGCGCTACGAGCCGGCTCTGCTCCCCCACGAGCCCCACCCCACGCCGCCACCCACCAATAGCGCTCTGCACTCGCCCCCAAAGGCCGTCCAATCGCGGGCGGAATGAGCGGCCGGCGCCCCGCCCCTGCCGCGCTCGGCCGCGGCTCCGCGGG